GCTGCGAATTAAAATTCATTCTAGCGTGTTGTAAAGTGAATATTGATATATGTACAGAAGTGTCAGTAGCTGTAGTGCCAAGAATTTTGAGGCAGCCTTTTGCTCTAGCAGAAATAGGTGCCGTAGTGTATTTTGAGAAATGTCTATCGCGCGGCAGTTCACGCAGAATAAAAAAGTTAATTTTACTTTCAGTTCAATAATGGTGTTGGTGGGCCTCCAGAAGGGCCTACAGTAAAGGCTCTCCTCGTCTGCGGAGCTGATCAGAAATGGTATTACGATACACTGTAAGCACCATCTTGTTCTTCTCACTTAATCTTACAACCTTCGGACTACCCTTAGCAGTGCTCAAGTATGACTGCAACAATCGTTCCCTTGATTAATGAACTCGAAATAAATTTAAGACATATCAGGAGCCATATATTACCAAACAATTTGTAATATCATGCGTGACAACCGATCGAATCAACGAAAAATTCAATTCTATCTCTTTTTAGCCCCGTCACCGACGTTAAATGCACAACAACTGCTGGAAGTGGAGGTGATGGAGGGTCTGCGAAAGGTAAATTTCTTATACTTCGATAGAAATCTTTTGCTACCTCTTAAAATATTTATCGATTCAGCCTGCGCAGCATGCGACGAAAACGCAGTGATTTTTGGGACCAAGACGACGGCAGAACAAGTGACTGTTATGAAACAGTAAGTTGATTCTGCTACAAAAAACAATATTCATACTATCATTAGTAATGGAACGGTAAAGCTTGAAAAATGCAAGGACTAGCTCTAAAATGTACGGATGATATCCAACTAAGTACTCTTAATATTCAGTGATGTTAAGATGAGGATGTAAGCTTTAGGTTTCGCAAGTTTGCTGCGTTTTTTCAAGGAAGTTCTCTGGCTTGTGGTGCGATTTATTGCGATAAAAGACAAGAATTGGTCTATTTGCTGCTGAAGGCGACTAAAAAGTTTCAGTGCAAATTTTAGTTGTTTCTCTCAAAGTCAAGATGACCAGAAAAGGAGGTAAAATGCAAACCATAGCTTGCTGTGGTACGGCTGTGCGTTAGAGCTGAAAAGAGAGTACTAATAATTAGGACACTACACCTGGGATGAGTGTTTTCCAGAACCAATTGGTTTCTTATTGTCTTCACCAAAGGAGCAAAATCAAGTGACGATGCTGTGTCACTATTAGACTGTGCATTAAATACTTTTAGGTTAACCTATATGATTTAGAAAAAAGTTCACCGAAAGAAAATGCCCAACATCGTGAATTCCATATTTAAAATTACTCAAAAAAGTTAAAACTCTTAGACTGAGCGTAAAAATGAGTAGATGTTGTTTGGAAAAGTCAAAGTTTGCCTCATATATCTAAAAGTTTCTGTGATTTGATTATAAACCTTATCGAGCGCTTAAAGGCCGAAGTGAACGCCTCATAATTTGGAAGTTGTAAACAATTTTACATGAAAAGCATATTCTAATCCACTCAAAAGCAATGCTTTCATTTCTGTTCTCTCGATCACTTTAAAGTGAGTTTCCATGCATACTCAGAGGTTCACATCATACCGATGCCACGTGGCGTAACATTCTCTGGAGTCTTGTTAGGTGAGAAATGGACATCTATAGTCCATAAATCCTCTTCAGCTCACACCACAACAGGTCGTTAGCGCTTTGGCTGCTTTTTGCATCGATGTGGCACAATAATCAATTCCGTGCATTTGTTGGGGCCCCCGCCGACACAACAAAAAAGCCACGACTGTCGTGACCTTTTTTAGAGTGCCATCCCCTGTTTATGAAGTTCTACCTTAGTGTACTCTGAAATCGATGAAATAAGCAAAAGACCGTGGCAGAAGATCCGCCAACTTTCGTATCTTCTTTTAATTTTCAGAATTGCTTCAAAGCATTTTATCAGAATTTATAAAAATCGATCAGGATTATCTGTGGCGAACTCAGCAGTTTATTACGATATTGCTGAAAAAAACAACATTGACTCCTGTCAAGGTCGGCCACTCCTACTTTACGATGAAACGGAAGCTGACGCAATCTCAGCTGCTTACGACACGGCAAGATTGGTTCTGCAAGAGCAAAAAAAATGTATAAAAACTATTTGCATTTAAGTGGTTTGCACGGCTGTAGCATGGCAATACTTTGGTTATTATTTTCCATTGCTAAGTGCTGGGAAAAGGCGTATTCGAAAAATTTTCAAAAAAGCAGCGAGAAGTTTTCCAACAACCTAATAAACAGTGAAAATGTTGTCAAGGCGTCCTCTCTTTGCAATAGAGCGGATAGAGCTCAAGTTTGAAAAAAACATGTAAAATTTCCAGAAGCAAAACATTATGACAACAAAATTCATTCCTATATTAATGGATTATTGTGCTAACTTAAATTGTAGTTTGTGTTTTGAGATCGCTAACAAACAACGCTGATGGTTGCAAACAGATGAATGCTGTCTGTCAAGCTTCCTCATCAAATTTAAAGGCATTCATGGAGGTATATAGAGTGCTTAAGAAAACATGAAGCTAGTAAAAGCTGTCGTTAATCATTGCCATTTTTCAGTTTAACAACGCCATTGGTGGACCAGGAATTGCGGAGACAATCACCGCGCTATTAACTTGTCACGATGATGGCAAATGGTACTTTGAAACACTGTGAGTTCCATTCGCGGTTTTTAATGCAGTTAGTAAAGAGCCAGGATTTCTGACATTTTCGGACATCTCACCATAAGCGATTGCATTTAATGTAGCTTGATGACACTCACTAAGTGATAGCTATGCTCCACTGCAAGCAAATCGTTCGTATATGAGAAATTCCCTGGAAACAATCCTTTAGTAAATATAACAAAATGCTCCTCCCAAGATGGTCCTCTTCAGGTTTTGGAGTAATTAGGGTTGGATGGCTCACTAGATGCGTCAGCCTTAATCCGGGTTCCACGTACAAGAAACATTTTCAAAAGAAACATTAAGCAGTCATCAAACTGTTAGAAAATATGAAAGCAGAGCATGTCTTCCATTGCAACCTTTCCGAAACTATCTCCTCGTTCCCATATGCACTACAGATCCAATATTCATGCGGAGGCAATCACCGCTCATATATTCATTTTAGAAACTTAGGCGATAAGGTGGATGTGGAGATGTGTTTCAAGATGAGCAGCTTAAATCACCCTCATATACAATTTATTAACGCGTTAGACCGCACTTGAACTTTTTTAAGAAAATATATGAAATTCAGATTTGCTTACCCTACTACTGCCTATTGCACTTTTACAATTCTTAGCATTTTCTGCCGCCTCATCGTGGCGCGGGGGTTGGGCGTTGAACTGCGAAGTATAGCGGGGGTTTATCTTCAGCAGGGTCCCCCAAGAGAAGGTTTGACGTTTCCCCGGATGCCCAGCTAAGGGTAAGCCATGCCAGAAGCACCACCTCTAACTTATTCAGCGGCTAGGTGGTTCCCTGATCCATATAGGTCAGCGATCGCCTGTGGTGAAAGCTTAGCAAGCCCTGGCAAGG